TTTCGTCCGTATTGTGGTTTTTTTTGAGGTTATGGATAATATTACCATTATTTGGAAATTTACGCTTCTCTTAAAAAATTCTAATCAGTCGCAATGTTTGGTATCAAATGATGAGGAAGTAAGGGAATGATAATTAAACTCCTGACGCGGCTTTGACCTCTTTTTGAACTCCGTATTTTCTTTTATAGCCGAAACTCGAATATTGTGTTTAATAGGCTGACCGTTTCCTATATATAATTCGAGACTAAATCTTGCAAGATTTATAAATTGAACTATGGCCCTTTTTCAATTAAGAAAAAAACTTTTTGATGTTTGATAATCTTTTTATTACTAGCTCTTAATATCGGAACGATGTTTTCGTTCATTTTATTAATCTTTTCTAGTATCCAGATCAACTCCTTCGAGATGGAAGCATGAGTTTTATGCTTATGGAAAGCTTATTCCAGTAGAATTCTACAGTGAAACTGTTATTTATTTTCGAGTCAGTCCTGCAAAAGTGAATGAATGTATGAGCAAAGCTTGGTCTGGATGAAGAAGAATCATTACTTTGAATGCTAATCTTTAACTATTAGAGCCCTTAAAGAACTTGAGTACCTACTTAAGACATTGAGGGCCATAAAGCTTACCTTTAACTTTACAAAGAAATTGATGATAAGAACACTGAAGCAAGCGAATCTCATTTCCTACTCTCCATCGCCCTCTTTTTCTTTATTCTTCCATATCCCTCTTCATCTTTTTCTCACCTACTCTCTGCTTGTCTTTCTCAAGGTATATTTAAACTCTATTTGCCTTATAATAATACTGTTAAGTCCCTTTCGCTCAACTCAGAATCAATGTTCACTCTAACCTGTTCTTTCCGAGAAGCCGCCTTTGCTTACATTAAGTGCATACAACAAAACAAACTTATATTGTTATTGCAATTTGTGCATAGATACACGTGAGTGCTTTGAATATAAGTGCTTCGGTCATCAAAACGAGCATAAAAGATATCACACAACTAACGGTTGACGATAGTGTAAAATAATAATAGTAGTAGCATACATTTATGCGCTGCCAAGCAAATAGTACGGATAATGTATAAACAATATAAGGGATATGAGCGAAAGCTAGACGAAATGGGACTATAATAATAATGGACAGTGTGCATGAAAACCAGGGGGTATAAAAATGAGGGGAAGGTAGCAATATTATAAAGAATGTGTGGATTAAAGCAAGAAGCTAAGCCAGGGCGGTATGAGAAATGCGAGAACTAAACTTTAGGGCACCGTATTACGCAAAGGCAACACCATACTGAAAACTTACTTGATAGCCAGTTTTTGTACAGTTATTTACTCTTTACCCACAATCTCCTCCTTTGTTCTCTTTCTCACAGTGAATAAACAAAGTTTTGCACATTCCGTTGGTCATAAAACATTAAGAAATAACATTTGCAAAGGATTAAGCACGCAAGTAATGTTGATGAAGTGATAAATGTCCTGTTGTCCGTATTACGGTAGTAAACGTGTAGCTCCCTATAACAGCAGCGCCTGGTACTCGGCCTCGCACTCGCTCTCGTATATGTTGTATTTATTTGCACAGCGTGCGACACATAAAAATTACGAATGACGAATTGCATGAAAGTTGTGTCATAGCCGATTATCGTTTTAATTAAAAGAAAATACTTTTTATTTGCCAGAAAGCTTTTGCTGCTGCTGAGTAGGAAAATATACGCATTTTGCTATAAAAGTATTATGGCACTGTAAATAAAGTTATGGAAAATTATTTGTTATTACTAATAACAGAGCAGCTGGCAACTGGAGGGGAATGAGTAGTAAATATTAGTTTAGTGAGCTCGGGATACAGAGTACACTACTCAGATTAATGGTCGAAGTCTCGTTTATGACCTTATACAGAATGTAATCGGATTTACGGGGTACATAATAGCAAGGAAAAAGTAAATAAAATATCATACACCTTTTGCTTGGTGATGAAATATTTCTAATTAATATTTTGTCTACTTCTAAAAGAAGGTCTTCATTTGAGATATTTTCTTTCTTTAGAAGACCTTGAAGGTATCTTTCAGCTTTGAGTTGGTCTCTGGAATCTGATATTACCAGAGATAACCAAATTAAAGAAGTTCTCTAGAAGCACAGGATGTACTCAATTTTCATGACTTTAAAAGCCCAAATCCTTTAAGGGTTATTCGCATAAAATCAGTCGCTCATTCCAAAAATGAAATTTGACAAGAAATTGAAACTCCGGGATAGTTATTTGAGTTGGCGAATTCAACATTGTGACTCAATCAAATCAATGTCAATTCATGACCCGAGCTGTGAACTGCTGTGAAACCAAAATTCATTTGTATTACGTCTATTGACAAAAAGAGTCCATCCAGCAGCATTTTCAAAGAGTAAAGTATTAGAGATGACATTACTTCGCAATTCCGACCCAATTGCCACACTCACGGCATGTTTCAGCTTTTTGAGTGAATACCGAATCATTCTGCGATTCCAAGAGGCGAGTGATTATAATTAAAACTCTGTTATGTGAATCACCCTGTTTCTAACTAATTTTTGTGTTGGTTTAGTAAAAAACAACAATATGTAAAATAGGCTTATGGCGGATTTAATAAATTGCCTATACAAAATGTTTTTGCGTCTGTTTTACCCCCAACAACGCAAAAAAATCGCACAGAAAATTCTTTACTTATTCTAAAAAACCTTTGAGCAAATAAAATTTGAACTGTTTCTATGCCATTTCACACCGATTTAGTCCTAATTTATGAGCTAGAAACTGACAGTTGACGAATAACGCGCAGCGTGGCAAAACAAGGCGTTGCAACAATGTTGCTAAACATTTTATTTACTTAAACAAAAATGCGTAACAAAAGAATTATGCACAAAAGGAGTTGGGCATTTAAGCTAGGTTGGGTTGTAAAAATATAAATGCTAAGACATTTTATTATCCTGGCAGCGCAAACACGCAAGCAATAGTGCTGCCTACTGTTGATCCCGACTTGTCACATTTTTCACTCAAACTAATGATAATTTTGACATATGAAGACGCAGCTGACGCGCTCGACTTGTCGGAGTGATGGGGTGAAGAGAGTGCTATTGCGCAGGCGCAACTGTTGAAGGTAGATTTTTAGTGATTTTGAAATCATATCGCTTATGTTTTTGTTTTATTTTTTGTAGTTGTTCATTTTTTGTCTTTGTAGTGTGATATTTTTATTACAATTCGCTATTGTTTGGTAGTGATTCGCAGCATTAAGATTTCTACTTTGTTTACGTCTACGATATTTTATTCGTTAATGTTGGCAACATTGTTGTTAATTTGCGTCGCTACCAAAGGCGGTAAACAAAGCGGTAATAAAAATACAAATATTTTTATATACCTTTATATATATATAGTATATGTATATATGTATCAGCACTCAAAGCCTATTGTCTGCATTTTCAGAATTTTAAAATATTTCAGCTACTTTGTGTGCGCAAATGATCCTCAGCGCAAGTAATTGCAGCATTTGTTTATTTAGGCAAAAGCAAAAGGTACACATTTTCTATGTAAATATATATATGTGAGTCGCTTCGCTACATTTTATTGACAGTTTAGCGCAGACAAAAGAGCGCCGCCAAATATGTCAATTCACTTCGGTCATTGATGCCTTCCAAGGCGCACACATACAGTTGTAATTGATCTTATAATCAACTCTGCACAGTGTGAGTGCAACAACCCCTAGCATCTACATACACACACATACACACTAAAACTCAAACAAACACTAACACTCATTTAAGTTAACCAGCTAGCCCTTTGTAGCTACCTATAATCTATGTCTCATAACCTAGCAGCCTTCCAACTCACAGTTGGATTTATTAAAATATACCAGAAACCGTGAAAAATCGACAAATCTCACGTTGATACTCGTCTGAATTTATCAATTTATATGTGTGAGCGTTTGTCTGTAAGTGGGTACAATCCTTTCAATTCAATACGCTTTTGCTTTGGTTGCTTTTCCCAAGTGCCGAACAATGGGCTCGTTGATACTTTTTTTCTTTCGTTCAATTCGGTAACAATGTGGGGTAATAAAAATTGCGACAAACTTAATCTTAACGATCTTCAAGAGGCTTTAGTGCAACAATGTAGCAAATAGCAAATAGGTGTGACTGATTGTGCCGTTATGAGAAAAAAATGTTGATGAGCTGAAAATGTGTTTCATAAATATATGTACAAACAAAGTTTGCCATATATTTATTAGTTTCAGAAGGGTTGATCCATTTTGGAGCACCAGTGGACTCAACCTAGGATTCAAGCGTATAGAAATTTCGCTTTTGCTGCCGAAGCACTGAAAAAGTCAAGAACTATAAAACGATAAATAGAGTTTAACCAGATAAATCGGCGAAAATGATCAGGTTTCCGGAGAAGCAATTTTTTGAAGGCCTTGTCTTATATTAGTTCATGTATAATATGCATAAGACCGGCTGACATATATCTACATATACAAAATGAATTCGCAAAGCAATATATATAATAAAAAGCTGTCAACGCCTTTTTACAGATGATTGGAAGGTTGCCTGAATTGTGGACTCCGTTCGGTTTGAAGGTTTGCACTTTTGGCACTTCCAGAATATAGTTTAAGCAGACAGAGGGTTTGTCGTCTGTCACGTCTTGAACCGACGGAGCAATGTGACTAATTAAATGTTGGACTATCGTTTAGGGGAGATCATTTTACCTCTTACGAAACCAATCCTACGAATTGAAGCTCTTCTTTGAAGAAGAGACCTAACTCTCTTCTCGAAATCAAGTTGTCGAACTCTTCCAAGACCCGTGCTACATTTGAATTCTGAGAATGGTATGCTTAGTGGTTGATACCAAGAATCACAGGATGAAGATCGCACTGTGATACTTAAACCTTCAAAGATCTGTTTACGAGTATCATTTCAAAATTATATGAAAATATATTTACTGAGAAAAAGAAATAGCTAGAAAAAAGCGGTGTTAAGGCGCACACATTTGTATTTGTCTCATCACAAATTCTTTGTACAAATTTTATTTACTTGTTTGTCTACTTTATCACATTTTCTGCGCTATAGCAACAATAACAACACTAAAAATAAGCATTAATGAGAAGCAACAGTGAGCGTATAAGACTCTTAAGGATCATAAACAAAAGAGACGTAATAATTTCAGACATACAATTATGTATGAGTTCTCAAGCAACACACATATACACGTAGACTCACACAACTCATTGTCCTTCAAAGGCAAATGATATCCTTGCAGTTGCGCATTTCTTATATGTTTGTTTGTATTGTTGGAAAAATTTTAACTAATCTGCAAATTTATATGCAGAAAAGTTGTTCAATAAAATCGGCTAAACCAGGCAATAAACAAGGACATTTTAGTGTCATTTCTTATTGCTGATGATGCCGATGAAGCGCTGGTGAAGCGGTAATTTCCTGCTGTGCACAACAGTTCATTGTCTCACCGTATACAAAGTCATAGTAAGCGAGTTTATTTGTTGCGCATTGTTGGTGTTGTAGACTATAGTATTTACTTCAGCATACATGTGTGTGTGTGCGTGTTCTACAGTGCCATTTCTCAATTGACCATTGTCCAGTCTATAATTTTGATGCGTTGATGTGCTCATAAATTTTGTTTTTCGCTTGTCTCGTCTCTTTGCACACTAAAAGTGAGGTTATGTGAACTACGGCGCTCACATAAGCTACTACGTTGCATAATTTATGTGCGCGTAAATGCAACTTTTTCATCATACGACTCAAGTTGACCACTTCGTGGCTGCGCTAAAAAGTCATTAGACTGCCCTTAAGGTATTTTTTCGAGCGAAAAAAATGACGAACACAAAAAAAAAATAAAGTTGCTTTTGGCAATTGCGTACTTCTGTCGTAAAAATTTGAGATTTTTCTCATTCCCTTACTTTTTTGTTTATATTGCGCCTGGAAGTTGAAAAACTTCCTCAGAAATGTGACGACAATTTTAATGTTGCGTAATTTGTTGCGGAATTTTGGTTACTTGCCGACAGATATATGACTTTCAGAGTGGTGCTGCGCGTGGGTACCTGAATAGGGTGTCTGAAATTAAAAATATATATATTGAATAAACTAAATTTAAATTAGAATTGAAATTAAATTATATACGAACTTTTAGTTTTATAAAAAAAAATTATTATATTTATTTTCAAAAATATTTTATGTAAGGAAAATAAAAATTAGAAATCTGAAATATATACTAATTAATATAAAAACATTGTTGTGGTATATCTTTTAATATAATTGTGTATATTAATAAATTTGCATATTCCAAAAAAATAAACAAAAAAAAAATTAATATTTTTAACTTTTGATTCAAATATATAATTATTGTTTATAATATTAAAAAAATAACTGAATTTAGCAAAACGTTATATTAAATTTAAAAAGTCTATATCGAATCTAAAAATTAAGAAAAATAATATTTTTTTTAAGTTGTTGGAAAAAGACTATTATTATTATTATTTTTAATTCATAATATATATTTTGTTGATCAATACTTTTTTATGAAAAAAACTTCTAAAATTTTTTATTAACAGAAAATTAAAGTTTGATTTATAAAAATGAAAAAAGGTTAATTATTTCAAATTTAAAAAAATAAAAATTTTGATTATTATTATTTCTCGATTAGTAGTTTTTTTTTTAAGTCAATTAAGTAATTTTTGTAACTGAAAAAATCATACTTAAACAATTACTTAACATTTTTTAAACAAAAAAATTATTTTAAAAGTTTAATTTCGGAATTTATAAATTTTTTAACTTAACTATTTAATATTAAAAATTACAATATTTATAACTTTTTGTTGAACTTAATTTTCTAATCTGTACCACGCATATACCCCTACCTATAAACAACCAATCAACAAAAACACCCTACCACTAAAAGTGTATGAATAATGCCTGTTGCCTGATTTGTGCTATTTATGCCGCGACTGTTTGCCTATAGCATCTGATATCTTTTTCGTATGTAAAAATATTGATGGTCATTAATATTCAATATTAGTGTACAATGTTCTTCCATCAACGCACCATTTACACCAATCAATCTTTATTATCAACACATCATTTACATGCACGAGCAGTAAAAAGCGATGAAACGAAACGTTATAAAAAATTGTGTAGCAAAAAATGAATGAATAAATGAGTTCAACTACAGAAAAAAAATTTCTTTGGTTACAAAAACACAATTTTTTGACATAATTTTGACATGTAACCACCCTTAAATGGAATTAAGTCAAGAAAACATTGTAAAAGCGAAGATTTCACTGGCCGACCAAGTTAGGTATTTCATCAGGTTAAAGGTCAATTGACCGCAATAAATATAAAAATGGAGCAAAGCTTCAATAAGGGTGATTGTATTTACGACGAAAAACATTTCTGAAGTAATTTTTGGTCACAAGACTACTTTTTCAACATTTCAAACATTTTAATTCACAAATTATTTTTATATCGTATACTGTATTTCAAACATGATTTGCTAAATTTTTATCATCGCTAAGTGGTTTTTGATAATTTGAATAAGAGCTTAGTAATTATCCATATGAAAAGTTTAATATTTATTTTATAAGTTTAATGAGAATTAAAAGCGTTTGCACTAAAGGAATGAAAAACAAGTACTAATCTCAGAATGATTTATTATTTAAAAGTTTGGACCTAAAAGCAGGCTCTTCAAAAAACTGGTGTTTAGTAGTCTCAGTACGGGAAAGCTGCTGTTATCCTCAAGATTATCAATAGGTTATTACAAGTATATCATAGAGATTTTGCAATTGATCTATATTACTACCCCTGACAAGAAAACAAACGTCATGCCCAACATGATTCTGAATCTAGTACAGCAAAGCTTTGTAATTCGCCGCTTGATCTATCACATTAAAAGAGCTAAACTCCTGTCTATAGTTATAAATTCCAAGTAAATGGGACAGCAGTCAGTCTAGAAAATAGACTTCATGGTGAAATGTTCCTCAAAAATACATTAGGGAGAAAACACTGTATGAATATAGAAATAATAGGGCTGCAGTATCTCTCTAAATAAAAAAGAGAAAACTTTAGTGGAAAAGTCTGTGAATGAATCCGAAGAAATATTGAAAAGGGAACTAAAATTTGGTTCAATATATATAGCTTAACATGGATAGTAAATACGATAGTTCAAGACAATACATAGGGTTGTATACAAGACATGAAAGCATATATATTGGCTCGCAGACAATAATAAATCTTAAAGAGCATAACAGCCTTCGTGATGAGAAAACCATTAAGCATTCTCTTAATCTTCATCAGTGATTAACGTTGATACAATATGAGAAAGTAAAATAAAATTGGAAGCTGAAACTACAGTTGGTCCTTCGTTACCCTACCATACTATATTCTCCTTGATAGAACAGTCAGTATTGAAACCAGCAAGTTATGGCTCTACTTTTAATTTGAAGAACCTGCAACTTTTTTTTTGCATTAATAAACTTATGGTCCCAATGAGGGTGTGAGCAAAAATACCATGTATTGGAGTTTCCACAGAATGTTTAGAATTAATTTGTTTACCTTTAATTTATATATGTTATCAATGAAACACAGCACTTTAGAATTAGCTTTTAATGAATTTCCAAAACGCATATTCATTGCTTGTCAAAGTCTTGTACACTTTCCAATTAACTAAATTTGCTTTTTCCATGCAAATAGCTCAAAGAAATTATTAATGTGTCTGCACTTAATTTAATCATAATTTCCATAAAAAAAATATATACATATATATATTTTCGGGAACACATTTATCTCACTGCTGACTTTTAATGGGCGCTCATCTATTCGAATGTCAACATGCAGCAGCAACAACTTTTTGTTTGTTCAACATCCACACATTTTCCCTATTTTATTTATGCCATTTCCTGCTATCAGTAGTGTAGTTACGTAATCAAACCATCACTTGCGCTTGTTTTCGTTTTTTTTCTCGGCCAGCCACACGCATATAAATTTTTGCGTATTTATCAAATATTTTCGGTAATTTTTTAGCAACGAAGCGCTCCTTGCAACACAAAACAAACACACTTATATTGAAAGTGTGGCAACTTTACCCTCAAAACCAAGCGCAAACATTTGCTGACATTACTCTCCGCTGAGGTCTCCCTCATAACGGTGAACGAACATTGTCTATGACACTTACTAACGGTACACGCTGTCATTGTGACGTATTGCTGTGTCATTCATTACATGGCGCGTATCGAACATTCATTCAGTCGTTGCTCAATTCGTTTGTGCGCTCAATATGTTTTTCTTTATTTTTTATACACATTTTCCTGATTTTTTCGGTAATTTATATGTGTTACTTTTTTTTTTTTTTTTTTTTTCAGAAAGTTCCGCAGTCATTCGTTTACTATTTTTTGTCACTTTTTTGTGTTTTTTTTTCTTTACAACTATTTATTTTTTACCACTTGCTTAGCGCAAGCCTTGCGCCTTCACGCTGATTTTCTACTCTAACATTTTCCCACTGTGGGGAGTTAAGTGTTTACTCAAGTGTGGCGAAAAACAATTTTTGGCAAAATGCCTCCATGGAACACACAGCGAACGCCAGAAGCGTGTTTTTATAAAATGAGTATGTTTTCATGTAGTCGAACACACGTCGGCCTAAAAAATTACAAATGTTATGTGTCAGTGTCAACTGAAATGTCAACATGAGTTCATCTGTCAAACGATGTGTGTTGATGTCAATTTTCGCAAAGCAGCCACACATAGAAGAGCAAATATATTCGCCAGCATACTCATGTGTAACTAAATACCAGTGTTTATCTATAATGTTTTTCTAGACTACCCCCATACCAAATACTCGTCTCATTTCTCTCCTCTCCTTTTTCTAATCAACGTTTCACATGTACTTTCGTTACAGCTTAACCAGCGAGTAAGTTGTTTCCGTTTATCATTCGACGACTGTCATTTCTCCTCTCGCCCACTTGCTTCGAATTTGACTTTTAAATTTAGTTAATGTTCAGGAATGAAGATATTTGTTGCAAGTAGAAAGTTAATTGAGTGTTGTCAGTAAAAAAGTGGGTCACATATCTTCGCTGCCTAGCTCCACCCTTACTTATTTCGTATACCCTAGCGCACATCCTTTGACTAATGTTTGCTTAAACTCAAGCGACTTGGTCGACACTTGTCGTATTTATATGTAACTTCTTTTATTCGTCTGTTATTATCTATGGCACATTTATTTTATCGCAGTTTAGGATGTTCATCTAATTAGAGTGGAAGAATGTTTTTCTAGTGTTAAATAAATTGCATAGATTTTTCTTGTTTTTAGAAAGTTGTGGGTAATTAATAGAACTAATTTCGTAAACTTGAATTATTTAAAAATGATTTGGCTTGGGCTTGCCACAACGTAAGTTATATCATCTAACAAATTTTATGATCTTTGGATATATCTACATAAATCTGTGATGACAAAAAAAGCGAACTCTATTTGACACACAACACCACTAATATTAGCAGGAGGTGCGCTAATACATAGAACACACAGTATTATCTATTTATTTTCTACGCAATTCGCCTAAAGTATTTCAAAGTAAGGTTCCAGAAAGCAAAAATTTACAAAGTGTAATACTTTATTTTTGGTCGAAACTGGTACTATCGGACACTATAAAAATATGGAACTGCGAATTACAGGAAATGTTACAGAAACATGTTCCTCAATGAAGAGAATCGAGAACAAAACTATAGTTTAAATTGACCATGTATAAATGTTCATTAGCAAAACGATCGGCTCAAAAAGTATCTGCCTTAAACGGAGCTGAGCAGAGTTCGTAAAACATGCGTCTAATTTATTAATACTCAAACTAGAATCTACACTTACTTTCCCTTACTCTTCATTTCTATTCCTTTCATTGCATAAATATTATTTTAAATCCATCTATAAATATACTCTTTCATTGTAACTACACTTCCAATTAATTTCAACAAAATCATTCCCCACACCAATGCATCGCCAGAACCGTCTGCCTGGTAACACCAACATGCTTCTATTTCTATATTTGCAGCAGCCGCTAAGCCACTCAAGCTGAAAATCTTTAATCAGGAAGATTAAAAAATTTCCACGATTTAACCACAGCAACACTGTGCTGTAATCGACACGCCCCAGCGTTGCATGTGTTGCTCTTCAGCAAGCTGTAGACTTGTGCAAAAACACTCCAGTAGCAAGTAAGCAACTCAAGCATCCAGCCGGTTAATAGCAACCGTTGAAGCGCCCGAAAGCGCGAAACTCGTAATAAGTGGCAAAGTCGCCGCGACAGGATTAAATTCTAATATTGGAAAATCCTTTGTTATTAATTATGTGCGCTTGAATAATTTCTTTCATTTAGAAAATAGCAAAGGAGTAACAAGCAAATATAGATGTGTGGCTACACCTTGCTCGGCGTTCATGCAACAATTGCAAAATGAAGAGTCATTGGCGCGATTATAGCCCAAACAGGAGTATTTATCGCGCAGCCGAGTGTGTTAAGAAAAATTATTGAAATTCATCGGCAAGAATTGTACTTTAAAGAAGTGGTGTAATAGTGAATTTATGTTTGTTTCTGGCAACAGCCAGGGGCGATAATTACTATTTGAAACTATTTGACTATGTGTAGAAAACAATACTCGTGTAGTCTCCATGACTGTAAACAACATATATATTACGAATATTTCTAACGAAGTATCATAGTTTGCCTAAAGCAGCTGAGACTGGAAATACAGCTCACTAAGCAAGCTCTAAAGGCCACTCAGTTATATTAAATATGAGCGGAACGGAGTATTAGAGTAAAGTGAGAGCTGATGTCGCCGTTATTAGCTAGCAAGCTACTAAACGTAATAGAATTTTATAATCGAAATAATCTCTGAATACTACATAGATCTGGTCGTGATCAATCGGTCGTTAAGGTATAACCTCGGTGAACGATCCTAACCAAATACTCTGCAAAGGACAGCTGGTAAGTTTCTTTCTATGAAATATTTGCCAGATAAAGTTTTAAACGGAGCTCTCTTTCAAGAACAATACGAATCGATTTAGAGTCTAGCCAACTTTCTTTCTCAATCACCACTCATTGGTCAAAAAGACTTCAAGTTGGCTTGCGAATATCTTTTTTTCACTATGATGTTCTGAATACTATACCAGGTAAAACTAATAATAAGGACACCTTTATAGCATTGAGAAGAAATTCTCTGAGCAAAGATGGCAGATTTTAAGAAAAAAAAATTGTACGCTTTTTATGTTAGACAACTCTTAAAGTTCTTCACACTTACGCCTCTCGGTCTTTCATTTTCTTCATTTGACAAATATTTTTCCCTCTTTCGCTCCTCTTCTATCGCTTAATCTCCTTTAAATCCTTCTCTACTAACTTCTGACCTTTTGTTTTTCTCTTTCAGCTATCGGATGTAAGTCGTTGAAGCCTTCAAGCTCGGTCAAATATCTTAATTTCTCGTATCTCTTTCACCTACCGGTTAAACTCATTGAACTCTTTCTCTACCGGCTTTTTAACTCTTATCTAAGCTCTCTTAAGACATTTTAATCCTTCGGCTCTCGATTGTGAGTCCTTGAGACTCTGAAACTCGGTAAAATATTAAAAACGGAATAATTTTATGATTTGTTTTCATTCTACATATGATCACAGGAGTTCAAAACTCAAAAAACGGTAAATTATGCAATATTTTTTTTCATGGTTTGCTATTGATATTTAGTTTTCATGAAGCAAGCAATAATATGAAAAACCGTCAACAAAACATAGTCGAAACGTTTGATGCCTCCGTTAGACCCCTTCTATCCGTCACTCCTTAGCTTATGTACACTCATGCTGTGCGCCACTTGTTTGTTTGCATTATAACTGCGCTTTACGATTTACGTATACTTGTAATTATAATGAATTTTTCCAAAGCCACAATAAGTGCAACAAATAAAAATAATCGCTTTCAACTTGAAAAAAAGAATTTATAAATCGAAATTCAAATCAAAAGACGCGCAACATCGATGAAATTGCAAAGCACCCCTGCCCACCAGCTACTTCCTGTCCAGCCAACCGCAGTGGTGCACAACAGAATGCGCTGGAGTATGCTGTTTACTTTGCTTTCCAATTACTTGCCACATAACTGTAAAATACAAAATTTCTTCATTTCTTTTTTTTCATTTCTGTATTTCGTGCGGCTGACTGTTTACTTCACGCCACAGATTTATTCACTCGAATTAATGAACAGCGCCGTGCCTTGCCACATCATCGTCATCGTCGACGGAATCGACGGCGAGTTGAAGAAAATTACGCGCTTTTTCGTCCTTTCAACTTTTCATACGCCACCTTTGTTGTTATTGTTTTATTTGCATTTCGCCGTTTGTTTTTGTGGTTCTCGTTGTTATTGCTGTTGTTGTTTTGGCTTGTTCATCTTGTTGCTGCCGGCTGTTATTGATACGTCTCATTAGTTGCAAACGAATGCCTTTTCAAGTGGTCCGTCGGTCGCGCATTCGCCGCGCCCGTCACTCTCTACCTTTTACGCGCTCATTCACATCAAGTGCGGCAACAGCAACAACAACTGTAAGCGTATTTTGAAGTTTCCTCCATTTCTTCTTTCTTATTTCCTGCACTGCTTTCACTTAGCTCTATTCTTCTGAAAAAATGCTGAGCAATGCCAAGCTTGAAAAGCATGAAAAGAATTCGAACTTGTTGTTTGGATTGAGTTGTGGGGTGTAGCTTGGTTAGGATCTAACCAGGCGTAAAATTAAAAAAAAAGCGTAAATTCATTTTTTACATTCGATAAATGAATGTAACATTGATGTGCTTTAAAGATTTTCTAAAGTGAATGGAATTGAATATGGAGCAAAATATGCCAGGGACTTGCTGAAGTGCTGAGCTCCACTCTGTAAAACTATATCTTGAATTTAACCAACCTGTATTTGAGGAATATCAAGCACCGAAAATCTCATCAGTTTACAATTGTGGAAGTTGTCTGGATAATTCCATAGGCTCTCTGAAAACTTTAAGGCTCTCGTAATGAATATATTCTTTATAGACATGAACTTAATACAAATTGAATTCACGGTCATAGCTTGATTTTCTTATGTATGTATCTTTAATGGGTTTCGTACGAAAGATAGCTTGTAAGTTTCCTGTATCTAGCTCCAATATATCTATCTCCCATTCCGGGGATAAGCTTCAATATCTAAACTAAGCGAATATAACTGCAAACTACTTAAGTTCATTGAAAACTCCAACCCCAAACTCTCTGAATGGTATCAATAGCATAAAATTGTGCTCCCCGTCATTGCTTGCTTATAGGTATTGTATTTTGAAATAGGTCTTATGAGGAGACCGTAAAGTAACGGGAAATTGTTTGAAAGCAAAATCAAACCAGGAAAACAAATATTTTCCATTATATCTTTTACTTAGATAAGGAAGACTGCTTCTTGACCTTACCAACCATAGGATAACCATAATTCGTACAAGTAAGGCACCTGCTTATACGAACACGCCCTGGTCTTATGAAATTCTGTGGGCGTTATCATAAATCGAGTAAGCTTATAAAGAAAAAGATATAATTAAGTTAGGAAAGGTAATAAAGTATAAGCATTTTGCCACTGACCGTTTGCAGTTGCGGTATTTTCAAGGGCACAAACGGGTCTGGCATGACCTCGATATTCCATGTTACACTATATAAGCTAAAAAATAGGTAGCCCAGATAAGACTTCGAGTTAGATGCGCAGCACCTATTTTACAATCACCAACCTCCTAAAGCACTGTTTCGAATTTAATTTGAACTTTTGCAAATTTCTTCATTTCATTAAGTGAAATTTCACTAAGGTAATCAGTCAACGCCTGCCAGACAACCAAGTAGGTATTAACTACTGCGCCGCCGACACTCATTAAATTTAATATCCTTAAGCTTCCTACTCATACTCTGACTCCCTACACTCCCCAATTAAATTAGGACGCGGAGTTAAATGCGCCGCTTAATTACAGCGGCTTTGCGCATGGATTTCAACGGTTCATTGCTAAAATCCGCAATCTTTTCACCCAGTCGGGTTGAAGTTTAACACACAGACATTTCCACAATAACGAATTGTTTCGTAAATGATAGCAGTACCCCCACAGTGTTTAAAGGTATGTGGTCTGATAGCAATCAAATTCAATGCGCCACCGCTTTTGCCATTCCGCGTCATTCAACGTCACCGAACGCGAAAGTCCAAATGAAATTCTCACCCCAACTACTTCGGCTGTACAATTCAATTCACTTTGGCGCGAAATTCGCTACAGATTATTAATTAGAATTCAACACCGTTGGCGGTCCGCGTCGCAGTCGTCTAAGCTATGACGTGCCGGCCAAAGCATGCAACTCTTTTTTTCTATTTCTCGTGACTTTCAGCAACTCATGCAGTTAATAACGAAAGCCGCTTAAATATTTCAAAGCCATGTCAACGGCACTGTACCAATAAGTAGTATTTACAAGCAAGTCAGCGTAGAAAAAAGTAATAGTAACCGTTAGGTGGCGCGTGAATTAAATTCTCGTGGTCGCTGGACTTTTGGAAAGTTATCGCCTGCATCCGCGGCTTTGACAGTCCACGTGATACGCATCAATGACAGCTTTATACGCCACATTTCACTACGCCGCGCGCTTCGCTGAGCTTGGTATTTGCCAAAGCTCGAAAAAATTGCCGGCTAGCCACTCATCTTTTTAAATATTTGCTGCCCTGCAACCTTCACTCGCGACAGCGTGGTCATGGCATGTCATAAGCTCTCGTCATTTCGTGTGCTCCTTCCACTACCGCGCGCTTGGCTTTCAACTACAGTAGAGCAATAGCGATTTAACCCCTTCAGGGCCATTTCCACTTGAATAATTTGTGACTATGCATAGCCAAGCTGAGTGGATTTTTTAGTTGATGGATTTAGCTGTGTGTGTGTGTGTGTTTTTGGAGTTCACTTGTCCGTGACTCTACTTTCACAAGTCACTTTAAGGCATTCTTTTGACTTTGTTTTCTTTTTTAATTTTCCGCGTTTTGTGATTAGTTTTTATTTTCATGCTTTCCTACATTCACTGACACTCTTGCACGTTTTTGGGTTACCCACTCTTATCTCAACGTGTTTACTCACCATTTGCTCTCTAGCTTCTTCCCTTTGCTTGCTTATTTCTTTCTTGTAGACCCTTGCATTCTCTTGTTTTTTCCAAAATTACTCTCAACATTTCACTCACTGTGCTGACTCATTCCCCGGTTACTTCCAAGTAGCCATTGTTTATTTAGGCCGCTCAACAAAATTCTGCAACAAACATAATAAGACAGCTCAGTATTGCGTTTTCCCAAAAGGATTGCGTTTGACAGGTGTTGTTGTTCAGTTTTTATTTCCTTTCTATTTGAATTCCTATTAGCGCTTGTTTACTTTTCTTATAGCTTTGCCGCTGATTACCAGTATCCGCGCTTATTTCTTTTGCCATCTTTTATTCACTGTTGATTTTTCCATCTTTTTTAATCCATTTGAAATTCGCGCTTTGATCCATTTCGTTTCCACTTTTTTGACGTAATATCCTTTTCGCCTTTGACAAGGTGTAAGGATTAATAATAAAGCAGCGAAAACAAAAGTAATGTCCTCTACTAAAGAATTCTCTTTATTTATTTTCTTTACGAATTATTGTAATTCTTTTGTTTACTCACTCAATACGCGGTTGTCCAGGGGTTGGAAAGGTTATGGGTTTATAAAACATTACTTCGTACTTTGAGTATTTATTATTTCACTTTTTTATAGCACAGATAGATTAGTGAGCATGAGAATTGCTATTTATCTTTTAGATTAAATTGAAACTTTTTTTAGACACAAAAAATGCCTTTGGAATTTTCAGAATATTATAAGATTACATATTATACCATATATTATCAAAGCCATTATTTTTTAGGAGATTTAAAATAAAAATCGGATATACAAGTATGTATATACCATATATAAGATTTAAAGCCCAATGAAAACTCAAATAAAGCCGCATGGCCTTTTAGAACCAAAACTTTGTTATTTGATTTAAAGAAAGCATTACCACTAATGAGTTTATATGGTAATGAACTATACGGAGTCCATAGTTTTAATTCGAAAGCTTTAACACTATATCATACATATACTAAACTTTACACATTGAACATGTCACGAGGTTGGAATATGTGTTTGCTTAGCTCCTGAAGAGACCGGACTCAACATCTGTGCTTTGTGTCGTGGACTCAGCCCACTTGTTTCAGCTTTAAGGTTCTATCTCTATATTTTCCTTCCCGGTACAAATTTGATGAGCTGATTTATAATCCGTCTCATTTACGCAGATTACATAAGCTCTTTGTTAAATCCTGACCTAACCTAACCTCGTGGCAAATTCGACAGTAAATTATGCAATGAGTCATTTATTCTTCTTTCCGCTTAGCAGCAAAGTCATAAATATTTTAAACGAATTTTTTTGTTGCTTTAAGTTTTGGTAATAGTATATACCGTAATTTGATTTTTTTTTTTCGTTTTGCTGCTTTTTGAGAAAATGTTCGCGTGACAAACGAGCATTTTATGGCTTCCGTTGACCTGTGCCAATGCCAAGCTGTCGCGGTCTTCGCATATCCTGCCATTGTGAGCAAACATTTGCTTTGACACAAAAGTACAGTTATAAGTGAGTGCATATATATGTACATA